CCGATTATACTGATGATATTTCGAGGTTTTCAGGTATGGAGAACTCGAATGTGTACTGCACTTTCATCGAAATACTATTAGCTGTGCAGTGACCAATAGAAATGAAGTTCTAGGAAAATGACTTTCTTAGAGTAAATCAAGGTGCAGAGTTCAAACTTGAGCTTAGTTCGGTCCCATATCCTATTGGTTTGGCGGCGCGGAATATAAATCAACATTTTAAATGGTAGATTTGACAGTATAATTTTGATATTCAGATAGTCTAGAATGATTGATTTGTATGATTCACTTTTTGAAGTACACATAACTCTCGGATTTAAATCCGAAGTTTCCGCATTTTTTATATTATTATCTATGTTGTTGTAGGGACTAATGATGTTCTACAATCATTTGGTCCTACTGTAGTTAATCAACATCATCGTAATGTTGAACGTAGTATTGGTTATGATCAGTCAAGAACTCTTCATAATTTTGGTGTTTTAAATACTGATAGTATGAATTGCTTTTTTTAATTATTTTTCCTATTCTAATTTATGTATATCTTAGATGGTCCAAATGATTTATATTCATTTGACACAAGTACAGCAAATCAACACGCCAGTAATGATGAACAACACAATCGTCAGGTTATGCCAACTGATCTTAATCATCCACATAGTCGTGGTACGAATTAATCGATTGGCCATTTTTTATATAATTATCTCTGATGTTTCAGGTACTTATGTTTCACAATTATTTGGTCATTTTGTAACTAAACCAGGTTATAGTAATGTTGAATGTACTGGTGGTTATGATAAACCAAGCAATCCTCATCATTTGAGTTTTTTAAATACTGATGGTATGAATTGCTTTTTAATTATTTTTCCTATTCTAATTTATGTGTATCTTAGGTGGTCCAAATAATTTATATTCTTTTGATTCAAGTACAGCAAATCAACATAGTAGTAATACTGAACAACATAATCGTCAAGTTATGTCAACTGATCCTAGTCATGTTCATAATCGTAATAATGCTATTAGTAATCGAACAGGTAATGAAGTAATTTCCATTACCGAAAAAATATTTTAACGTGGCAAAATTTTTGTAGGCGTCGCATTGGTATTCGACGTGGAACGCCGAT